TTCCTGCTCCTCTGATGCTGCTTGGCCTGCTGTGTTCATCCAGCTCTACACCTTGTTATCTCAGATTCTCCAGAATCGGCAGTTCCTACTATCTCCGGACCTGTAATCTCTTGCGTTTCAAAGAATGTGAAACTTAGAAAATCCTTAAAGGGAGAGAGAAGAGAGATGCAGGTCACATGTTCTCCCTGGTGGAGGAGTCTAGAATCAGGGGCGTTGTCAGCCTGGAATAAGGGTGAGGCTGCGGAGACCCAAGCTGTGGAGCATGTGCTTTAGTCAGGGGATTGTGAACCCATGGGGTTGTCGAGTCTCAGTGTTTGAGTCTGTTTACGGTAGAGATTGATTGATAGATTTCTGATTATCAGTGGGGTACAGGGATGAGGTGGGTAAAAGGCATTGTGAAGTTTTCAGTCAGCCACAATCATATTCAATGTGTAGGCAGGCTCGATAGGCTGAATGGCCTCCTAATGTTCCTATGAACCAGCCCAGCCTGATATCAGCTCCTAAACTCCAGAATAAATCCATCTGTTTGCTCTCAGCTGCACCAGTGTGAGATTCTTTGGGATATCCTGAGATTCTATTTATTGCATTTACACACATGTTTTCTGTCCTCTCTCTCTCCTTCTCTGTTTGTCTGTCTCACTGTCCCTAGGGTTTATCTTTCTCTTATGCTCTCTATGCCTCTCACTAAATCTCGGATTCTCTCTGTCTGTTTGACTTTTTCACTCTCTCACTGTCTTTCTGCCTGTTTTTTCTCTGTGCCTGTTTTCTCTCTCTCGCTCTTGCTCTCACTTTCTCTCTCTCTCTCTCTGTCTCTCTCATTCTTTTTGCCTTCACATCAATCTGTTTCTCTTCTTCCCATTTTTCCAGGTTTCTCTGTCTTTCATTCTCTGCCTTGGACTCTCTCTCTCTCTCTCTCTCCCTCCCTCCCTCCCTTGTTCCACCACCCTATCTACATCCCAGTTTGCAGAGCACAGCCGTGGACTGGTTTGATGTTAGGGGCAGAATATGCGGTAAAGGTTGAACAACAGCTGGATTCAGACTCACTGCAGTAACAGCTATTAATGCTGACCTCACACTATTCCCTGATCCCAGCTCACCAGCCTGACTCTCTGAGGGTTGTTCAGTCTGCACAGAGGAATCAAACAGCATAAATTCCCCGTTGTGCCTGTACCAAGGTTTTTGGAAGGTGATTGTGTCTGAACCGCTTCCCCACTCCCTTCCCACTGCCCTGCGGGAAATCGGACAAAGGTTCTGGAAATCAGGAAACAAAAGAAAAAGTTGTTGTTGAAACTCGGCAGGTGTGAGGTGAGAAGTGGGAGCGAACTGTTCTGAAGCAGGGGGAAGGTATTTGAAACAGTAATATTACTGCAGAGCCATCACATTGCATATGTGTTGGCTTTGAAGTGTTTTGGGGTGAGGATGTGGTAGTTGCTATAGAAATGAAAGTGCTTTCTTTCCCTCCCTCTGTGCAGGTTTGGTGATGATTGTGGTGATACTGGGATCGAGGAAGGTTGGGATCAACCCGGATAATGTTGCCACTCCGATTGCAGCGAGCCTGGGTGACCTGATCACGCTCTCACTGCTGGCCGTGATTAGCAGCGTGTTCTTTGAGCACATACGTAAGACCACATTCGCTCTGGGACTAACATCACAGTGACACCCCCCCCCCCC